GGGGGGGCACCAAGAGGAGAGTCATAAAATATGCAGTTCTCACACCAAGATCAGAAGCTATGACAACTCCGTTTAAGGCTTAAACTGGTTCTTGAGTTGAAAGAAATATAATGTTGTTTCATGGGTAGGAAGATATAGCTGAAAATTCAAAGTTCCGTTGTATTCTATAACTTGCTGAGATATAAATAGATCTTGTTGTAGTTAACGTTTATTGTATGCTGTAATTGGTTCATATTTTATTACTTATACATATGTTCAGCTGAAGTTCCTTACGAGTCGACTCAGAGATAAGTCTGTAGGGTTACTAAAGTAAAAACCGGGCACACTACAGATAGACCATTGCATTGTGTAGCCTTGTATCTTAGCAACAACAAACCTCAACAGTCAGCTGTGATTTATCGTAACGTTATAATCACAAATCTTTTTCTTAACCCTAAAGTATAGTCCCGATTTAAAATAAATAATTAATTCTTAACCAAGTAAAAGTTTGGATTTTGAATTTGTCGATTTATTGAATTAAAGGTTAAAATCTTTCAAATAAAATGGTTCGTTTTCGTCCAGTTTAATTTTTTTCCCGTTTCTTTTATTGTTTAATCATTTTATACAACCTTCGATGATGCCAGTTTTCGTCTGAATTACTGAATTTCTGGTATTCACAAAAATACACTAGAGGGCAACTTAGTAGATACACTAGAATCTAAACAATTTTATCCTACAAAATTAATCCCAAAAATGTTTTCTGTTTGCTTAATTCTAAAACGAGATGGTGTGAGGTTATGAAACGCCTCACTCCTATCTCTACTAAGCTGATCCATAAGGTCCATCTGTACATCTTTCTACATGAGAGATGGCGGACATATAGGCCTCTAAGCTACGTTATTTCCTGTAAGAAATTTCATATATTTACTATTACACTTAGTGTTGCTTATTTTCCTCCCCAGAGGGAATAAGCAACACACACACAATATAAATCACCCTTTTCTAAGTATACCCCGCGAATTTTACTCCTCGGAGAAAAAAGCCGGGGTATAGACATTAGACATATAGCCTTTCGGGTCCCAACGTTCGTTACACCCCTCGGGGTGAACTTGCGGGGACGCTTCGCTCGGCTTTTTAAGGATCTTAAATTAGCCTTGTAGGCCCTAATGCTCGTCGCACCCCCCCCCCCTGGGGTGAACTTGCAGAAGTTCATCACTTGGCTATTAGGAAGAGAGTAAATTAGTTTG